AGATGGAGAGCAGGAGAGGAAAGTGGGGGAGCAGTTAGGGGAAAGAGTGGATAGGGAAAAGTGAGAAGGATGGAGATCATTTGAAAGGAAGAGAAAGGAAGGGGGAGAGGGAAAAGGAGGAGGTAACCAAGGTAAGGATGGGAAATAAGTGGGAGGTAGAGGAAGGTGGGGAAAGGAAGAGATGGATAGTGAGGGAGGCCAAGGGACGAGGAGGGGTGTTGGAAAGGTGAAAGAGATGAAGGGAGTTAAAATTAGCTTTGAATATTTCTTTGGATCACTTCAAAAAGAATATTTTGTTATTTAGCCAGATAACCACTAGCTTTTTAAAAATGATGTTCTGGTGGATCAACATTGTGAAGAGACCAATATTATTATCAAAGTAACCAATGTTATTGTCACCCTGATAACATTACAATTAGGAGACCAGGAACTATGTGATAAACCCAGAGACAGCTCCCAGCAGGCAAAACAAACATTTACAAAAAAATAATGCAAGTAGAACCTTTTGAAAAAATATATTGGTGGAAGGCCAAATTTGCTGACATACATAGGGAGGGGGCAAGCTCCTCTTTCCATTTAGCATGCACAAATATATATATGATTACAAATTATTACATAAACAGATAATGTGTAATACATACCTCATACATAAGCACACACATACATAAGAAAATATTCATACATCTTTACAGCAGCTAACTTCCTAATGAAACTACAACACAGCCTTACAAGTGCTAACTTCCTAATTAGCCTACCAATCAACTAACCTGCAAGACAACAAATTAAATAAAATCAAATGATCTACAACAAAACACATTATCAAGTATCCACAAAACAATTATTTGGCACACAACCCTCTTCCTCCTCCTTTCTAATCCCTCTCTATTATCAATTATTGATTAATGACAATTATTAGTATTCCCACTAACCCCTTCCCCCATATAACTCCCATAACACTACCTCTTCCTTCTTCCTTCTCCCTCTCACACCCTTTCGACTAATCCCTTCTCTGTACAATCAACTCCATCAAGTAACTCACCTCAGATCGGGATGGGTCCTGGCATCCTCATGTACATGATCTGCAATATATTTGACGGTGACAAGAGCCGGACGCACGATGTACACCCGCTGCCCACACTGCACTGGGGGGGGAACACGCTGCAGCTTGTGCATCTTTTCCACACCATGACTCCTGTGAGAGGTGGGCAGGAACAGGAGTTTTGAGGGCAAGGGATGTGAGAGGTGAAGGGGGCAGGGAGGAGATGAAAAAGAAAAAGGAAAGGAGGAGGGAGTAAAGAGCAAGACAAGGTCAGGTGATACAGAAAAAAGGAAGGGGGATGAGATGGAGCAAGGAAAGTAAGTAGGGGAGACAGATATATGATTTAGTAAAAAGTGAATAATTATTTTCCTTTTATTTTCCTGTTTGCCATATCTATCTACTGTTTGCCATATCTATCATTTAAATCTCTTTTAATCTCTAGGGATTTACAGTTTAAGTTAGAGGAACTTATAAGTACACTGTATTGTTTCACTTTTAATTTTACAAATATTAGATAAAGATATTGTTCCCATGAAGACCTTCCTCAACAGAACAATAATAATAAGGAAGAAAAAATGTACAGTATCACAATATCATCAGCATCAACCACAACCTAATGCACCCTCAAGCCTCCACAGTATGGACAACAACTTTAAAGTCCTCCCTACTCCCACTGCTCATCCCTGCCCCTACCCCTACAATTCAGATTCCACCACATTCACAACTCACCTGAGCAAGGTGGCCCCTGCGATGCGGTCAAGCATCTTGAGGAGTTCACTGTCGATCACCAGGTCCTTGGATCCTGGTGCATCCTCCAACACCCGCACCAACCGATCCCGGTTGAGGCGGCGCAGGATCTCCAGGTCTAGGCCAAGGCTTCCTGTGCGGGACATTTTGCGCCACTTTTCTCCCTGGTCTTAAGTTTACTTTTGAGGAATTTTTTATGAGTGGATTGCAAAAATCTGAGAGTTTGTTTGTGATTGTCATTACATGTCACACTCCCTCTGTGGGTCTCATGATCTTATGAGGGGTTCTCTTTCAAAGACAGCTTTGGATTTTTTGATGTCTTCACACATAACTGGAAAGAAAAAATATACATATAACCATAAAAGTTGGGAACTTCTATTATTACTTTTTTCTTTACAATTGGCCACCGCATACATTCATATCCTAAAAAGTATCAGTAGTGTCTCAAGCTTTACTTACTCTGCCCCCAAAGTACTGATAATGTAATGCTAGATATACTGCCTGTAGCTTTAGAGCCATTTTCTTAGCAGCTACAGTAGTTGGTAATTTTTTATATATAAATTAACAAGTGGAGGACAGTTTTAAAGTCTCAAAGTACTGGTAATACTTTTTCAACCCTATGACAATGTCAAGCAATTGCTGTTACCTTTGTGCTTTACAAAGGTCTACAAACTTCTACCATACATATTCTGGTAAGCTAGATCCAAACTGGTTCTTTACTTGACAATTAATTACATGGCGGCCTACAAGATCTGTCTCCCTAGAATATAAATGGTGGAGGTTAGTTGGCAACTGAAAGCTATGGTCTAAACTGATCAGTACAAGGGCTGTGAAGAATGTTTAACAAATAACATCAATATCACATTCATATATCTGGTTCTTCATTGTAAAATATAATGTATTCAAAAGAGTTGTATGATGAAAATAAAAGATATAAACTTTTTGCACCAAATAAGTATTATAACATACCTACTAACCTCATAGTATGTGATGAGGTTATTTTTCCTCAGTAATAATGTTGTCAAGGCTGCTGCAAAAATTAGATGCTGAAAATAAAAATACCATAGGTTATTACAATATTTTGGTAAAATTATACTTTCATTCAGCCATAGATTTTAAAAATATTTCTTATATATATATATATATATATATATATATATATATATATATATATAATATATATATATATATATATATATATATTACTTGTTTCTATATCAAATTTCTGCTATTTCTAATCTGTGAATTAAGTAACATAAAAGAAAAGTTAAAAAAATTCTTTGCTCTGTCTCGGTCATATAATGGTTCATCTTTTATGTGATGTCTGGATGCAACTGGACCTATACCAGTATTTTCAATATACCCTTCTCCCTCAAGAAATCAAACTCTAGCTGAAAATGCAATTGCCATTTATGCAAATCTGCTCAAATGATAATAAACAACTTATTAAAACAATCACAGATTGCCAATTCCAGTTGACATAAATCTCAAAGTCCATATTTAAATATATTACTAATTGAAGTAGTAAATGTTCAAAGGATCAATGAAGTCCATAACATAACTTATAAACATAGTAAAAATTTAGGCCTAATTTTGTAAAATTGTAAATATCTCTAAAAGTACGCATACAGCTAATAACTAATCTTCTAAGATTTATCTCTGATAGACTTTTAGATATTCTTTATTTTTCTGGGTTTGGATTTGGGGTGACAGCCATCCAAGGCGGGTTGCAGGGGGCACAGCCCCCTTCATCAGGCAATGCAGTGACTCTAGTGTATTTTATTCATATTTGACCCTGCAGTTTTCCTGTTACCTTTTATACCCTACCCTGCTATTGGGGCCAAGATTGTGGGGGGGTTGGGGGGTTTCCATGTGATAATTTCTATATATCTGGAAACCACAGAGTGAAATATAACGATACCAAAATGGTCACAATGGGAGGAACTATTGAGTAAAATTACCGAATCAAGGAATAATAATCGCAATGTTGGACTGCTTCTGTGAAATAAAAACTTTACCGAATTTAATGCGATGTCATGCTTATCACCCAATATGATACGTAACCAATTTCGTAATTCAGTAAATAACTGAAATGACCACACCTCTTTCAACACATAATTTGGTTCTTTAGTTAAATCTGGCGTCCTTATCACTAAATCCTCAATTTCTGACCATATCAAAATTTATTCAAACTTTCATATTTCTATCTAGTACAAACCAGACACTAAAAGTAAAACATGAAATAAAAGCCGAATGTTGAGACCAACAGCAAAGTTGTTGTTTTTGTTGACATTGAACAGCTGATTTTGCGATTCTAACAAATATTTTTCATATCAACTTTTTTTTAGGTACGACGTTTCATTTCTTGTTTTTGATTTTATTTCTTTATGGGTGATTTAAACAATTTTGGAATTTGAAAGTTTCTAAATAAACAATTTCATTTATTGAATCGCATTTACTGTGCTTTTAAGATTTTGAAGAGAGTTTGTTTGCCTTATTCCTTACTCATCCTGGCATTCTCCCCCTCATCACAAATTTTGTATTTTCACTTCAGCAGCGAAATAGTTATATAACATTACCTTTATTCGAATTTGTCATTCAGCGTTTTTTAATTGGATAATGAGAAAACTAAAAGCACGACAGGTTCCCAAGGATACACTTGCTTTCAGAGACGGTGACAATCGCTCCCTGCGTCGTTGTTATGTAAGCGCTTCACTAAATTATTTTACTGTCCTACAGTTAAGACTACGTAGTCACAATCTACCTGGAGAATCATGAAGACTGTCGTGTAATTTTGCGATGAAATAAAATCCATTAATAAGGAAATCAGCCGAGGGGATTCGAATGCAATGGTGCCAAATGTACAAACAAAAATTTAGACTTCCTCTATGTAAACACAAAACACAATGATACACATATATATTTGATACTTGTAGCCCTTTCTACTACTGTATTAGAAGGTCAAGTGGTTTAAAAGGCGACTGAATCCAACTCAAAGAATGTAAATAAAGGTGGAGTTGGCACCGCCGGAGAAGCTTGTTGTGAAGGGACATGATTCTTGTATAAGGAAGTTTTCTCTCTCCCTCACGTCCTCTGCACTCTCCTCCTGCGCATCTCCTTCAAAGTAAGAGGGTCTTCAAGCCACCGAGAAAGAGTAGGATACGTGGGAA